CTGCACATCTGAGGCTTTTCATTGCCTTCTGCCTGTAATTTAATTTATTTTATAGTAACTTCATCAATTTTTTGACAACTGTGTGTCTTTCTCTTCCCATTGTAAAATCAATGAGCGTGCTGTTCACAGACTCTTCATGAGTTGAAAATAAACTGCACTGTGGTTTTCCCAGCTATTAGAGTGCAAGGGACCGGACAATCAGAGGGCAGGACAGTGGCGCAGTGGTCAGCATTCCTGCCTCGCAGTGCTGGGGCCCTGAGTTCAATACCTGAGGTCCTGTCTGTGTGGGGTTTGTATGTTCTCCCTGTGTTTGCATGCGTTTCCTCCCAGTGCTCTGGTTTCCTACTGGTTTCCTACTTAGCTTCTGGGAAAACTGCCCTTGGACTGAGTGTGTGTGCACATTTGCAGCTGTCTGCCCTGCCATAGAATGGTGTCCCCTCCACGGTGTACCCCGCCCTGGGCCTGTTGCTTGCTGGGATAGGCTCCAGCTTCCCCGCCACCCTGAATTGGACAAAGCGGTGCTGGATGACGGATGGATGGAAGATTAATGGTTTACATCCCCAGATATCTGCACATGATATCGCCATCCAGAGCACATGCATGGAGATCTTGTGAAAACACAAGCGGAAGCTCCCGGGAAGGGACGTTTTGAGAGTACCGAACAATCTGCCCAGCCCAGTAATACAATGTTACATTACGTCCACCCCTGTCATCAACAGCGATTGATGGGAAATCCATCAGCGACTGCTCCTCGGCCTCGACAGTTCAAGGCCCTGAGCATGGAGGACGGCGTCTGCTGGCCACATGGCCACACCCACATCATGCCTTGTGACGGAGAATCCCCAGGTCAGGGTGGCTGAAGCACTCCACACTGGGTGATAAACAATGCCTACATCGAATGGGACAGTGCACAGATACACACAGACACTGACTACCTCATTACTGATCTGACTACAAACAGAACACACTGTGCTCACAGACAGCTGACAATATCCAGTGCTCCAGACACATAACCCCATCTACACATTTTGACACGCCATTCGATTCACAATATAACCAGTGGGCTATTCACCATCTGAGGAGGTGTCCTCCAGTGTCCTCTAGTGGCGGCACTCTGGTCATTACAGCCCCCTCACAGGTCTCTAGTGAGGTGACATCTGGTGTCATACTGTAGTACATCTGGCCCTGTAATCAGCAGTGATGGTAAACCAATCTAAACCAAACC